TATGTCCTGGCATGAGGAGGCAAAACTGAGAGGCAAGTGCTTACATCTCCATGCAGTAGAAATCACTGGAAGCATGTAGTTGGTTCTTCACATGGCGTTTAATGGCTCTTTGATGTTGCTGGCTTTTGGTTACCACTCAGTTTGCATTAACAGGCCGCTTTTTTAAAAGCTCCAGATCCTCAGCGGATTGCAGTTAAGCTGTTCTGGTCCAGTATTGCCAACAAAGAGTGTGAAAATGTAGGTGAAACCCCTGGGGGAAGAAAATAAAAAAAAAAAAAAAAGAAAAAAGCCAAACCCAAAACCCAAAGCAAAACCCACCACACACAAAAAATTATAATAAAATGAAATAAGAAGTTTGGAAGTTTTCTGAGATCCTGCAGGTCTCATTGAAGCCATTCTGTACAAAGTTGAAGTTTTCATTTCAGCTCATGACTGTCACGAAATAAAAGGATGGGATTGGTAATAAAACTGTACAAGCTGGCAGTGCCATCCATGAGAAAGTAACACCTCTGGATCTTGGCAGGAGGTTGTGTTTCTTTCCACGGGGTCCTTCCCCGTTAACAAACATTTATTCTCTGTGTTTGTGCAGGGCTGGAGATCCCACAGCTGCTTTGCTCTGGGGTCTGTCCCAGCTAGCAGCATGCATATATTTTCCTTACTCATTTTCATCTTACTAACATGGGACCCGTATGACCTCTGGGCGCGTTTACAGGTTTGAAAATAACATCATATTGCAAAAATAACAAACCAAAATGAGTCCAGAAAAGCAATAAAAATAAAGAAAGTGCTTCTTAGGAGATGATCTGCAGAAAGCCTGCGCCCGGCTGCCTGCTGGGCTGGTGGATGCTCAGCACTGCTCTGCCTCCCGAGCTGCCGTGCCGGCTACAGCTCCCCTGGAAGAGCCGCAGTGAAAGAATTGTGTTTTAAAGTCAATTCTCCATGGCAAACTGAATTTCAGAGAGTGTTTTCTCACAGACTAGAGCTGTCCTTGTATCTCTTGCTTGGACCCAAAGTACGCGGTAGCGTGTCCAATGCAGAGGCGCTGTGGAGGAGGGAGGGCTCGGTGTCTGTCACCCCGATTTCCTGGGGACTCCGTGTCGGAATGTGGCTGACAGCGCCCGTTAGCAGTCAAAGTCACCTCCTGTGGCCTGCGGTCGGGTCATCTGACAGCGTGCCTTTGTGTTCGGAGTTGGTAGGATTTGGGGCAGTTTTCCTCTAAGGTTTTGCAGGTTTTTTGTTATTGGTTTTTCTTTTTAAATTGAGTGAGTTGTTTCTGTCCTGTGGGCGTTACATGAGACGAGTTTGAGTTGGGATTTGGCAAAGTGGGGCTTTAGAGGTTGTTTTAGAAATAGAGGTCCTTGGTTCTGGTTGTGCTTGTAGGTAACCATCGCTAATGTCAGTCAGCGCAAGTTAGAGGAAAACGGGTCCAAGTCTCAGATGAAGGAAAAGCAATTAATCACATCTCCCTGCTTCTCCCAGTTTCCCAGCTTGGCTACGCAGGGTTCGCCTTTCCCAGGTTTTCAAGCACACCCCGTGTCTCGGATGTGAAGTGCTGTGAGCAGCGAGCGATCCCAGCTCACCTCGGCTTTGTCCTCGTTTCGTGCGGGAGAGGGTGAGAATTAGCCACCGCCACTGATTTGCTTAACAGGCTGCTTCTGTTCGCCAAAGAGTAACAAAAATTAAGTAATTACAAAAGAGCAGAAGATTAATGAAGGCAACTGCACGAGAGTGTGTTCCTTTCAAATTAGGACTTGAAAACAATACCTGCTGCCCCGTGTGCGCGCAGAGTTCAGTGCAGGATTGATCCCTTTTGGGGGGCACGGAGGGTGATGAATGGATGCGCCCAGGTCCAGAGCTGCCTGGGAGGCTGGACACGCATCGGGAGCTAGACCGAAGTGAGACGGGAGGAAGCGTTTGTAACCAAAGGGAAATATTAAAATGTCTGTTTCTGCTGTAAATCTACCTGGAATGATGGGGCTGATTGTTTTGAAGTGCATTCTATAGCGAAACAATAATGAGAAGAGGGAGAGCACATTACTTATCTGCTCTACCTGGCTGGTGTACAAGTGGCAAACATCTAATTGAAATAATATCCTGATGGGAGAATTTCTAATAAATTTGTTTGCACCCTCATAGCCTGAAGGAGAGGAAAAAAAAAATCCAATCAGCAGTGGGCAAGTTCCAAAGTTTCCATTGCATTTCAAGTCTTGATTTTCAGGCTCGCTGCTCAGACTGGCAATCAGAGGCACAGTAATTTTGAAGGCAGGATTCATTACAGTTATTATGAAGGCATCAAGGGCACAAGGAAGTGTGGAGCGGAGGTAGAGGAATAGTGGAAAGCCATTAAAAAAATACGTTCTGATGAAGAGCATGAATAGGGAAAGCAAAGAACTTGTCCTGCCCTGGACCGTCCCAGTGAAAGGTACTTTTTGCTTTCCGAATGTAGATTTCCAGATGACTTTTGTTTTGTGGAGAAGAGTTGTTTCAAACAGGTGTTAGTCTAGATCTGCAAAATACTGCGCTGGAGCAGGACAAAAATGGGGCACTTGTGTGCGAGGAAGAGGGGCGGATGGATGGATGGATGGATGGATGGATGGATGGATGGATGGATGGAGGTGTATTTAAGTCTCTCAGAGGGCTAAAGCTTTTACTTAAGAAAGAGCTCTTCCTTTCCTGATGTGGAAGTAAATATTTCTGCAGTTCAAGTTCCTGACTGGTTCCAGGGATGGACAGAACTGTCTCCCCAGTGGAATGTTGTATCTTTCTTCCGGGCTGCTTGCTGGGAAGCTCCCGTGCGGCTCGCCGGCCGCATCTCCGTGGAGTCTGAAGGTGCAGTAGCTGTTAAGCGTCCTGCCGTGCCGGGCAGCGTGTCTGTGCAGCTGGCCCAAGGGAAGGCGCTGGCACTGCAGCTGTGTGGGGCACGGACTGTGGGGAAGGGCCCTGCATCCACACGGTGCACAGCCTTGGGCTGGCTGCTCAGCTCCAGGATCCGCCTGATGGTTTTTGGGTGGGGTAGTCCCAAGAAGAGCTTGGGAGTGGGACCTCAGGACCATCATTTTGCCTGTTCCAAAAAGACTAACGCCCCAAAACCGTGCTGCTGCCCATGCCGAGTGGGAGAGCAGCTCCTCCCACGGTGCCTGGGTCCCGCTGCCGCAGGGCTGAGCATCTCCACCAAAAGGTGCCACCTATTCTGCAAATTCAGCCTTCTCCACCGGGGCTGGCCGGGTTGGCAGAGGGTGTTTAGGCTGGAGAGCTGACTGAGTCTCTGTGCCTGGAAGCACGGCAGCTCCAGCTGGAACTGTGTTAGTGGGAGCCGGCTATGCCAGCGATCGTTTTACAGGCGGAGGGAAATTCAGTGGGAAGTGGAGAACACCCGGCTGGCTGCTGGGAGAGCTGCTCCCCCCGGCACGCTGCTGCTGCTGGCTGCATCCCGCGGCTCCTGCCTCGCTGATGGGTTTAACGAAATCCTGCATTTGCACAGGGATCCCCTTCCACCCTCCTGCAGCTGCTATCAGCATTAGTTAATGAATTGTGTCACAATACCCGCTCTAATTTTGCCGCTTTTAATTGGTTTGCTCTGCTATCTCAGAGGATAGTTTGGCAATTAGAGAGTGGCTGTGCGCTCTGACGCCGAGCAGAGCTGTGCTACCCCCACTTGGCTTTGCTAACTCCGCTGACTTTAACGGCTAGTCCTGTTCCCTAAGAAATGGAAGTGTAAAAAATAATCTGCACTGAAAATCTTCACCTGGTTTTGTTTAGATTTCTCTTCTATTGTTCTTAATACGGCCTATTTCTGTTAAGGCATAGCTGGTATCAGAGAGCGAGAGGACACATGAGCAATCTTCTGTTCATCATCCGGCTTGTAAGGACAAGAGGGTTGGCTCTTCCCCTTGTTAAGTAGATGGTGTCATTCGCAGCTGGTACCTTCATCCTTGTCTTGGGAGTGTTTTATGGCATAGCCCATTTTGTTGCTGTAATTAATTTGTGAACTTAGCCTTCAGAACTGCCCCAGCCATGCTTCCAGCCAGAGACAATCACAGAATGGTTGGGGTTGGCAGGGACACCTGGGGATCCCCCAGTCCAACCCCCTGCCCAAGCAGGGTCACCCAGAGCAGGCTGCACAGCACCGCGTCCAGGCGGGGCTGGAATATCTCCAGAGAAGGAGACTCCACAGCCTCCCTGGGCAGCCTGGGCTTTTTCCCTTCGTTTGGAATCGGAGCAAGTGAAAAGCTCCTGCTGTAGCTAATTAATGAGAAGAGTTTTGCACTTCTCCATGGGGGTTTTGTAGCCTAATAAGTGAATTAACAGTTCAGAACCGGGGACAGGCATGGCTGCAGGACCCGTGGGGGCACAGGCAAACGCATGATGCTCCGGCTGCCCGGCTTCCTGCCCGGCCCCGAAGCCCAGCCGTGGGGCAGGGCCCTGGCAGAACAGGCAGGGGATGGGGGACGTGTGCCTTCCCAGAGTTTGCAAACAACAGTGAACTGTCAGGATGGGGAATCGGGCTTTGCGTAGAGAGCCCCTCGTGTATGGTCTGGAGTGACTTTCTGCCTTGCTGGTTTGCTTTGGTGGTTAGGGAGCATCTGGGTGTCTGGTAGAGGACTGAATGGCACCTGCCTGTCTTGGAAATTCCCATCAGTGGAAACTGGCTTTTTAAAGCTGATTGGTTGATCTAGTGGGAATTTTAGCGAGAACTTCATTCGGGTGATCATTGCTGCTGAGTAGATCTGTGGTTTTGGACAGGTTTGGTTTGTTTGAACTGGAGTGATTTGTTCATTATTTTGCTGAAAAATTAACATAAATGTGCTATGTTACCGTGGCTCATTGTAAGAAGTGATGTGTGTGTGCTCATGGGTGCTCAGAAATATTAAAGGACCAGCTCGGGATTGTCTTCTGGGAATCTTGGCATGAAAAGCCAGAAAATGCACATAACCCTGGCATGCAAATGACACTTCACTAACTCTAACTTTCTTTTGTCTTTCTAGTTTGATGGGGAGAACATGTACATGGGAATGAACGACAACGCCCAGGAGTTCCTATCGGCAAATCAGGTGAGCGTTGATTTGCTTGGGGTGGGCAGCGTGGATGGATTTTCTAGGGGACTTAAGCTTTGCCTAAGCACAAAAGCTCTCTGTGAATCTGCACTCCTGGGACGTCGGGAGAGTCCAAGGAGGCGATCGGAGCTGGCTGCCGACCCGGCTGCTGCCAAGGAACAGCGGCGGATGCGCTTGGTACGGGGAGAGGGATGCGCTTGCGTGTCCGTGCTGCTGCGTATCGCCAGAGCCCAGCTTAGCCACAGCTCTCCAGTGAGACAGACTTCGCTCAGAATGGAGGTGCAGTTGGTGTTTCTGGATGCGGTGAGGTTTCCAAGCATTGTATGTAGTTCAGGTGTCTCCTTCCCTCACGTAGAGTATTTCCTGTAGCTAAATAGATTTACAGTTAGCTGGCTCGGGGAGAAAAAGGAGTCAAAGGTTTCCTGTTTTGGAGGTATAAACTCACACGTGGAGGACCAGAATAGAAGGGCTCATGTCTCACAGGTGCCTGAAGCTTCAAGGCGCTCTCTCGGCTTGGATACACGTGAAACAGATACGTCCGTTCAGTGGAGCCCTACACAGATATAAAGTTAAGCCCATGCTTAGGTGCTGCTGGGAGCTGGGGGCTTCGGCACGTGCTTACCTGTCTTCCTGACCAGGAGATGAGAGATGGTCCCATCTGCGTCCCCCTGAGATGGCCTGGGGTGTCTAGAGCAAGCCGGGGGCTTGGTGCATCTTTGAGGTGCCTTCTGCTGCACCCTCGGGGCGAAGCATCTTGTTGCATGCTGCTGCCTCATGAGGGGAAGTGCAAATTCGTCGCTAATATTTTTCAGCATCTCATTTTTGGGCTGTGGTGGGCTGTTTCATCGTGGGGCCCTGTTGACCGCAGCTACGTGGATCGTGGGCCGTGCAGGGTTATGTCACGTGAAGTTGATGCATTGCAGAATTTGACAGGCGTCTGTGTGATGGCTTCCATCCAGCCCCAGATGCTGCCGGCTGCCTGCTGTCCTGGGCCCGGTGTGTGTGGCCTGGGGGGAGGTTACGGTGCCCCGGCTCCTGCTGCCGGGGTTCGGTACTTACCACAGCATCGCTATGAATGGCAAGGCCAGGGAGTCATCCATGCGTGTCTAACTTGGGTACTAAGAGGCAATTAGAATATATGCATATTAAACTGAAAACAGGATGAAAACCTGTTGTTTGCCTTCTTAGAGCGCAGCAGTGTGTTGACTTGGTGCTTGGGAGAGCTGCTCCTGCTCTGGCTGTCGAAGACCGCACGCGAAGCCACCGCTGCCGAGACGTGGGGAGAGGGCGGTTCTGGTGTGAGAAGGGTTTCCAGAGGGTGGGGAAGGAACCGCAAACTCTGTGCTGTTGAGTGATTGAACTTGAGGAGGAACTTCTTCTCTCTGAGGGTGACGGAGCACTGGAACAGGCTGCCCAGGGAGGTTGTGGAGTCTCCTTCTCTGGAGATATTCAAGACCCACCTGGACAAGGTCCTGTGCAGCCTGCTGTAGGTTTCGGCGGGGGGGTTGGACTAGATGACCCACAGAGGTCCCTTCCAACCCCTACTATTCTGTGATTCTGTGATTCTGTGATTCTGTGATTCAGCAGAAACACACACGCAGTTGATCAGCAATGGCATGAGGCTGATGGTCAGGGCCAGGGATTGCCAGAGGCCGAGTGAGCGCAGGAAGGAGCGGGGTGAGCCCAGGCTGCCCCGGCTGGGGCTCAGCCCTGTGCCCCCCTCTCAGGGCTGAGCGGGGTCTGCGAGCAGGCGGTGGACGCTAACGGGAGCCGTTGTCTTAAATATTCTGCCTTTAAAATCTCCCCAGGGACGAGCATTTCACAGCCTCACGGGAAGGGCTGGTGGTGCTGGCTCAGTGGCCAGACCCACTCCCCGGCCGGGATGTGGCTGCGGGATACGAATGGCCC